AATCAGAGAAATATTGTAACAAGTATTGCGTGTTTTTCAACTTATTCGTAAGCGTAAGAAAGTTATCTAAAAGTATTATAAGAATACAAGGTCAATGAACTTGGAATTAAATTTTTTACGACAACATAGATTAAGCTTTCTTGACCAATCATGGGCAAATAAAGCCTACCTATTTCAATCTAAATAGAAAGGTGCAGTTTTAAAGTTACAGCTTTAAAGTTACTACGCAAAAGTTTTAAAGTTACAGTCTAGTACAACATACCAAATACCATCGCAATTGTTTTTTGAGGTGAACCTTAATTTTCGTCTGTGGCCGTTTATGGTTTCTAGGTACAGAAAGGTGTGTGACTCACATTGTGTAGGATGTTTTGTTGGACATCAAAGAATTTCGATTACGGATCAAAGAATGATCTGTCGTTTTTGAGTATTTTATTATTTTCGAAGTTATATATATTACATGGATGCAGGTGGCTCTGGATCGTACTTCATGGCAGTCTACGGCGGAGGCCTATGTTCAGCAGTGGACTCAAACAGGCTGAAATGATGATGATGAGGATATATTTTTGAGCGTTTCAATAACATTATGACAGTAATATATTTACAATGTGACACCGTCAGCGAAAAATCGCCATGATGAAGCTGGTTGCAATGCGAGTTAACTAATAACAACTTTTTAAATTGTTTATAGTGCTAATCTTTGCACTTAAGATTGAACATTGAAATATGTAGAAAAACTACAAAAACGTTGTCGCCGCTGTGGGAATCGAACCCACGTCTTCGGCAGTCAGCCTGACGCTTTAAATACTATGCTAAACGGCTGATTGCACGTCAAAATTAAAAGATAAAATTAATAATAAAAACCTTTTAATAATAAAAACTTTTTGACACTTACCTACTATGTGGGGCCACGCAACAGTATTATCTGTTGCACAAATGCACAGGTCCTTCCGGGTAAGTACCACGACTTAACAGAAGACCAGCGTGTGAAGTGGAAGCGTGCTTTTGGGTTTCGTCTGGTGAGTGAGGGCCCCACCGCGACCTTGTTGGCCCTTAGATGACACACCATAGTTAAACGCACGCATGAGCACATGCGCGGCTCTACCCATTTGCGGAGGGCCTGTGGGTTCTGGCTAGCCCTCGGGTTTTGCATCAGATGAAGCTTTAATAGTCTCGGGACTGAAAGCAAAACATCAGTTAATACAAGATAGCTGGGGCACACTTAACTAAAAGGTGCTTACGCACCTGGATCCCTATGGATGTTGCAAATGTCAATAGACGGAGTTTATCACTTAAAATCAGTTGAATCGCCAGCTTGCTTGCCACCTTCTCTCATAAAAAAAAAGAAAAAAAAATCCAATTTATTTAATAAAAGCGTTAACACTTGTATTTAATATCTTGTTAATAATCAAAGAGTACTGGCACAGTGGATAAAAATTTATTTTATTTTGTTACACTAAAGAAGTATAACTTCTTACGTGCGTACATGAGTATACACACAATTTTTATATCGTAACGTTAAAAATTTTCACCGCAACGTGATAATGCAATAATAAAAGAAGCGTCGTTAATTGAATTTGATATTAATTGAAATCTGTGCTTTGTATTTACCTATTATTGCTCGCTATCAATTGTCAACAATTAATTACCGCTCGGTTAATTTAAGGAAGTCATTTTGCGTTTAGGTAGGTATTTGCAATTAATAGTTATTCATTGCAGTTGAAATACGGGGGCATTTGAAATGGGTCGATATACGCTTGGAATGAAGCCAGTGCTGGAGCGAGCCGTGCGGCGAATGGAGCTCTTTTATGTCAAGGCTCTTAGAATATTTGAATCATCGATTAAGATGCTGCGGATGATTTTGTCGCAATATTTTATCTTCAGGTGTAGAATTGAGGAAGCGATTAAACATAACAAACCGGCCAAGTGCGAGTCAGACTCGCGCCCGAAGGGTTGTAGGGCAGCCCCACTAAAATATTTTTTTTCTGTTTTTTAGTATTTTTTGTGTTATAAAGGCAACTAACTATCAAGGTTCGTGACATACAGCGTGGTGAAAGACGGACAGACAGACACCTGGTCACATTTTACCCTTTGGCTAAGGAACCCTAAAAAAAATTAAACAAATTATGTCGTATATGTTTCAGCAGGAACGGAATCTCAATTTAAATATTATGATTTTCAATGCACTTTTCTAACTTAATAACGTAATAGGCAGCAATTTTCACGAACTACTTATTTTCGACAAACATGACAATGTGATCAAAGTAATTGCATCATAAATGTTTATTAGTATTTTTGAGTTTTGTCAATTGCCTTTTTCCATACACGCTTTTTAATTTATTATTCTCATTTGTTTAAATATATTATGATGTATTAAATATATTTTGATAAATATTTTGATAATTAACTGTGATATCTGTGTCCGGGCGCTCGGACTATGCCCTCATAACCCTCTATGTAGAGGAGGCCTTTGCCTAACAGTGGGACATTTTTTGACTATTACTTTACTTTTTCTTTATTTAAATGATAATTGACAAATATAAAATCTTTCATACGTAAAAATTCTTTGATAAAGCCAACAAGCAGAATTACAATGTCATCTAGGATCGATGATTGTTAAATCGTTGCTGGTGCACCGTATCTCAGATACTGCATCTATCCCTGTGATCTGAAAGCGTTAGAATTACGCATGTGTTTTTGATGGCAACGCTTTGACGTCCGTCCCATCTGAGAGCTCAGTGGCTGTTGTAGATTTACATAGTTCAGACCGAAAATTCCATCCAACAAAGACAAAGGCAAAATATTCCCGTCATTAGGTCATAAATACATACTATATGTTGCATGTATTTGTTACAAATTAGAATTTGTTCTTTTAAATATTGAAATGCCAGCAAGATCTACTACGGTCTTCTAAAAAGCTACTGAAAAAAATATGAAAACAATCCCGCAAAGTTTCATGTCGGTTTGTCTCCTACGTGTATCATTTAATGAGTCGAGGGTAAACATTTGCAACACAAGTAGGATTGCAGATGAAAGAACCTTTCAATAAAGTAGGACCTGATGTTTAGTGATAGCCACTGTCCGTTGATATTTGCAACACAAGTAGGATTGCAGATGAGAGAACCTTTCAATAAAGTAGGACCTGATGTTTAGTGATAGCCGCCGTCCGTTGATATTTGCAACACAAGTAGGATTGCAGATGAGAGAACCTTTCAATAAAGTAGGACCTGATGTTTAGTGATAGCCGCTGTCCGTTGATATTTGCAACACAAGTAGGATTGCAGATGAGAGAACCTTTCAATAAAGTAGGACCTGATGTTTAGTGATAGCAGCCGCCTATGGCCATTCGCAATACAAGTAGGATTGCAGATGAGTAAAGTGGGTCCCTTTCAATGAAGTAAACGGGGCCCCCGTTTAGCTCGCTCACCAGACGAAGCGCAGAAATGTAACATTTCCACTGCACGCCGGTCTATCGTGATTGCGGGACTTCCCCGGACATGACTGCCCATTCGTGCAACAGTCACGACTTGTGCGGGCCACGCACATAGTTAAAGCTTTTAAAACAGGGATAAGTCTTAACTTAATAAAGAAATTTTGACTTTGATTTTGGGGATGGTCTTGGAGCCCCAGTGGTGTTCCTATTATTTTAAAGGCTGAAATGAAATTCGTTGAATAACTCTGGATTTAGGTCACTGAAATTAAATATCGGCAAAATGTATATTTTGATGCAACTGCATTGCAGTCCTCTTTAAGTAATTGCAAACAGCATTGTTACATACAAAGCTTTTCGTAATCTGATAATTTATTTATGATTTTCTTTTCCTACCTTCCTAGGCTTTACGACATATGTTTTTTATTCATTCAGAATTGATATGAATTAAATCGAAATTAATGTTTTAAATTAAAGTAAAGGTAAATTAAAAGATTTTATTCTATTCCTTTTGACACAGCCAGCAAGACTGAGTGACTTTACTTCAATTAATTCATATGATTGCTTATACGTGGAAGTATATTTATATATCTGTAACAGATACATTCATTGGCGCATAAAATATAGTCCATATAAACCCGCTGCCACGTGATGTTATGATAGTATAGCGATTGCTCTCTGGGATTTCGACAATCATGGAAATGTGAAAATTGAATAAAATAATTAGTGTGTCCCTATTGAATTTTTACTGCAAAAACAATTTTAATATAAAAAAAAATCGTGTAACGCAACCATATTTTATGGAACGTCGTCGGATAATCTATTAACTTGTTCATAGAATCATTACTATTCTTGTAACTTGTAGTAACTGATATCTTAAAACACGTTGCACACCTTTTTTTCTATGGATAAAAGAGGCGAACTATTATGAGGCTCACCTGATGGTAAGTGATTACCGCCGCCCACGAACACCTCAACACATGCTTACAAATGCGTTGCCAGCTTTTTAGGAAAGAGTATGCTGTCTTCTTGAAGGTTCCCAGGTCGTAACGGTTCGGAAAGACCGCCGGCGGTAGCTGATTCCACAGAGCTGTAACCTACACCTATTAAGAATCAATCGTCATGTCACCACTTTATAACTAACAAATGCCGATACAAATGCAGATCGGTAAAACATGTGCAATAGTGTTTTTTTTTAATGCTTCAAACAATTAATTTCAAAGTTATACTTCTTTTGGCGCGCGAAAGTTATAGTTCTTTTGAGAGTAAAATTTTTACGAGTGCACGAAGACAGCCAAAAAGTGACATGATAAAGTTGTCTACAAAGGGACCAACTTCACGGTATTAACTACCGCGAATATTAACAACTTTTTGGCATTTAGGTACCCATTGTTACATTATTTGATTACACCGTTATCTATGCATTTAATTTCGTTTTCACAGAAAAAAAAATAAGGACACATGTTTTTTTTTGTACTCAAATTAGTGTAATTTATCGAACCGGCACGAGTCGGTCAGTTTTATTTAGATGAATCGACAGATTGGTCTTCTAACGTGGTGATGTGTTTTGCAGATATTCGACAATCACTACCATTTCCACCACCACTCCGTGGCGCGGAGGGCGATCCAGCCCGCGTTGGAGCATCACGGTAGACTGGAGAACGATTCCAGGGTCCGATGGGCGAAGCAGCAACGCGCGCTGTCCAGAAAGAAGAGGGACTTTCTGCCTTTACAAAACATACCATCTACAGGTGATTGTTGCAATATTTAAACACTTGTGTCGGCTGTAGTTTTGAGTTAGTAAAGTAGAAAATGAAAAAGTAATGGAGAATAAAAAAAAATTAAAATATGTCGCGCTGCCGCATGTTTGTGTATGTTTTTGGAGACCTGCAATAGTACGGTCTTATTTATTTATTTATTTATGCTTTATTGCAAAACCTTAAAAAAAGGCTTACAAAAGGCGGACTTAATGCCATCTGGGCATTCTCTCCCAGTCTATTAAACTTGACTATTTTATGTGCGAAGGTGGCAAGCGAACTGGCGGTTCACCTGATGTTAAGTGATAACCGCCTGCCCATGGACATTTGCAACACCCGTAGGGTTGCAGATGCATTGTCACCTTATAATAAAGTGGGCCCCGGCTACCTCACTCACCAGACGAAACGCAGAAGTATAGCACTTGCGTCGTGGCACATACCCGGCCTGCACGTTCATGCAACAGAGAACACCGTTGATATGACTCATTGAAAATGTTATGAAGCTCATATTAATAATATTTCAACATTTTTTGGAATTTATTGGATGGTTTTCATATGTAATTGTGCAGCGGCGGTGATGTTACAGCAAATTAATAATAAACGGAAGAAATGAATTTCCTATAAAGAGAACCATTAAGGGCTTTTTTAAAGGCTATGAATTTGGAATGAGCACGGGAATGAATTTATTACGTTAAACTGAATGCGAAAATGTAGCAGTAGTAACGAAATAAGCAAATTAACAAATTTTCATCTACTGCTTGTAAGTCAACTCGTGCTCTATTTCATATAAAAAACTAGCTAAAAAAACTAGCTAATACCATTCACGACATGATTGACGTATTGCTGACCCCACTAGGACACAGGCGGGAGAAAGAAGGAGAAATAAGAAGTGAACATTTTTTCCTTCTCCATTTTATATCCTACTAGCGGCCCGCCCCGCCTTCATACGGGAGCAATGTATTATACATATAAACCTTCGTCTAGAATCACTCTATCTAGTAAAGGAAACCGCATCAAGATCCATTGCGTAGTTTTACTTACGTAGGACGACTTTTTTATACTATGTAGTGATATACGTATATATCTTAATCCATTTTCGTTTGCTACAGTCGAAGCAGAAACGGGATGGGCGGACTCGCCTCCGCCTTCGACGGCGACGAAACGCGAGGCGGGCACCAGACGAGATTTGCAGCGATCGCGCCTCAAATCTCGTTCACGCTCCGTGGACACCAAATTCCTGCTGAACGACCCAAAGTGGCCACACATGTGGTATTTGGTAAGCAAAAGATAATAAGGATTGTTTTAATCGATGTAATTGTTTAAAAAAGTACAGTGATTTATATGTAAGGTAATTTATATGTAAGGGAGGAATTTTTCACTGAGGAATTTTTAATAGGCACACTAGTAGACAATATTGACGATGTAGAGACGGAAAATGAAAATAAAGTAAAATGTCATATAAATTAGAACATCATACACAATTATAAATTATAAAAATATTGCTGTTGCCGTCAGACAACGTTCTTATGTCATAATTATAACTGGCTAATAACAGATTTTCCAAGGTAATTTTATCACGAGCCGATCTTGCAATAATGTACAGTTTGGATTTTATTATAATATGCAATATAAATACCATATATTATATGCTCTGGTGCGGGTACGACTAGATTCTTGGTTTAAGTTGGGGGGTTAGGTAATACCAATTTAAATTACTGTATTTCATAATTTCATTTTATAGGAATTTAAAAATAATATGTATTTTGATTTTGAATAAACAAATCTAACTTTGTGTACCCATCATTGATCTTTATAAACTCCAAATAAAGTCTAAATTTAATAAAGAAATTATCTTTGACGTTTATTGATTACAAATTCTTTATTTCCAAAATACATGATTTACAAAAAAAAAAACCGAGTAAAGCTCGGTCCTCCAGGTACTCATAATTAAAAGGAATCAGTGTTCTTTTTTAAGGATTTGGGATTGATTAAATCTAATAAAATAATTGGAAGGATATAGGTATCTGTATACCTATATCCACTGTTGTATAGTGTGATCATAAGATGTAGCTTTCTTCAGCAGTTGATTAAAGTCAGCTGATGTAACTTACTTGAGAAACTGTTTTTAATTCAGTACTTTTTGTCTTACAAACTTAAACATTATAATCTGCAAAACAGTTTCCTTTAACAACGTTATGTATTCAGATAAATAAAACAAATTTAAATGTTTATTCTAATGGATCGACTAAAATATATATTTCATCATACGAATTTCTCATAATACATCATATGCATATCAGCAGTTATAAAATGACATATTCAAGCGGGTAATTTTGTGTTGGAATATCAGATTATACACAATACACAATGTCAACAAACACTACTTTGTCAGTCTTATCAGTGTATAAAAAAATAATGTTTAAATGGCGTGAAAAGTATTAATTATGTCTTAAAGCTTTGAAGTGTAACTGTTATCAATTAAAATAAATTAAAATCCATGACAGCTTTTCATACAAAACCCTCTTTTAAAAATTGATGCCCGAAAGTGAACTGGTCCATGTGATTATGCCAGATTTTGCGATTATAATTTTAAATCTAGAACATTTAGCTCTAAATTATTAACGGAGTTCATTAGTATAAGATTGATGTATAAAGTTAAGAAGACATCCATTTAATTGTAATTACAGTGGGGCATTTTTTGCAGTGATTAAAATGTCGCTCATATTTTTCTTTAATCTCTTTACAGCTGTAGTTAATGTCTGTGGACCAAGTGATTTATGGTATCTATCACATCTGCTTATTCTTAATGGTATGATTTTTCATGCAATTTTTTTATACATGAAATATAATTTAATTGCCAAAGGATGAAAATAAGAAAATTAGTTTAGTGAAATCGAATTGAAGGTTTAAATAAAATTAAGCTTTACGATCTTGAAATTTGATCTACTCTGACCGAGCAAGCAAAAGAGGTCAAAAATAAATAATAAGTTATTTTTTGTTTATTTGTTTCCATTGCGTTTTTACCGCTAGAACATTATAATAATTAATAAAATCAGGCCTCAAGTTTTTATTAATAATAAAAGTTTTCATATGACTTTTAAATGTTAATAAAGCTTTGATGAAACAGTACTAGAGCTTTTAAAGGCATTTTTTAAATAGACATAAAAATTGTACGGTATGTATGTTATTCACTGTTTTATTCTATTTATTCGGATCGGTAGCCATTGATTTAACACGCGCCATTGAAAGCGATTTTAATACATTCTCCATTCGGATCGCGCTGTCGTATTTTATTCCAACACTCGACCAATCATATCAATGAACTGGATATTTAGTACGAATTTAATATTTTCAAATGAATCTAAAAACCGTTGGTCCGATTTGCTTCTTTAATTTACGCATAATCTCTATGGGTCTATAGGCAAAAGTTAAAGGTCAAAACAATTAAAAAGTAGCCCGCGTTGGGGCGAGTTAGTTAACGGGCAGACAATGAAGATTTATTACAAGTAATTCATTTATCCATGCTTGATAGCAAAAATATGTCTCAGTACAGACAGCTGTGGGTGGTCAATTCATCGAAATATACCTTATACACGATTGATCACGCTGTTCGAGTTACAAAACCAATGAATTAATGTCTTATGAATTAAAATCTTTATTCGATTACGTAACGAACAAAGCGTTATATCCGTCGGCACGTTTATTTGTCACGAAGAGACCAATACAACGCTATCCACGACCTCTCACACAATATTTAACACTGTGGGCCCTTGCAGAACCGTGGTGGCGGCTTAGACATGAACGTGATACCGGCGTGGCAGGAGGGCATTACCGGCCGAGGAGTCGTGGTCACCATTTTAGATGACGGCTTGGAGACCGACCACCCCGACCTCGTCGCAAATTACGTAAGTGTGCCAGGATAAGTGTATAAATACAAAAGTGTGTGTGTGTGTTTATAGTGTTTCAAACTACGTTTATTCGCATATTATGTTTCGTTGATGATGTTTCGATGCGGTACGGTCACGAAATACCTATTTATGATGCTAATGGAACGAATTATCAATGATAAAATTATACAATTCAATTCTTTTTTCCTTAATATTTTTTTGTTTCAGTATCGTATTGTATTATAGTCTGTAGTGATTGTAGTATGTGATAAATAAATACGGCTATATTTGCCAGTTTTATTTAAGGATCATTGGTCTATTGGCAGGGTCGTGGAATTGAAACCTATGTCACATATAGAGTTACCTCTACCTTCTTACAATTTTTCACCTAGTAAATATTTTCATTTAAATACATTCCATTTGATAGCTGGGACGACGCTTTTTTTTCTTCATGTTTTAAATTTATTACGTTCACTGAAATGTAAAAAGTACTAACTCCCAACAGGGGCTAGGAGAGTTTGCTTTATGTTTGTACGTGTCACTCGAAATTAACCCAAAATTTAACGAGACAGATGTTTCTAAACTAGAACTTCTGTTACAGAACATTCAAACTATGTTCTGGTAATCCAAAACTAGAGATTTGTTAAGAATAAATTGTCTGATATTATAAGATTTATTATTAGTCTTTTTCACCTATATTATCTTTAGGATTTAGTATCTACAAAATTCTAGAAGGTGTAAAATTACTAAATCAATACCAAGTTCTGAGTGCAATATAAATTGGGGAAGTGCTACACTTCTGTGTTTCGTCTGGTGATTGAGGTAGTCGGGGCCCTCTTTATTTAAAAGTGGAAATGAATTTGCAACCCTACGGGTGCTGAAAATTTACATGGGCGGCGGTTAACACTTATCATCAAGCGAAACACCAGTCGTTTGCCACTTTGTCACATAAAAAAAAACGTACTTAGGTCGTCGCCGCCCATTGACATTTGTAACACCCGTTGGGTTGCAGATGCATTGCCACCTTTTAATAAAGTGGCTACTAAATTATGAAACACACACTCCCTTTAATTTTGAAACGCCGCATATTGTGTACAATTGATAAACGCATTAAAAACTCCGTAGTCCGAGCAAATGATGCAGTAAAGGATCGTTATTCCAGCGAAATTTGGGCGGAAAAAGCGGAGCTCCAAACTTCATGATCTATCGCGCCCATGAATCTTGTTTCGCATTGTTCGCGTCCGTTTGGACGTGACTCTTTTTGTGTTTCGACGCAAAAAAGGACAGATACCCGTGTAGCGTTCGTATTAAATTGTCCAATAAATTTGCATTTTATCGGAGACCCCGTGCAATGTGTTTTCCGAAAACTAACGCAGCATTGGCTTTTTCGGAGCAACTGCCGTGCACTACATGTTAATATCCCGGTAATATACAGTAGCTCGACTACGTGTTCTTTAATTTTATATTTTTAATCAAAATCCAAATCATTTTATTTATAGACAAAAAAACAAATTCATTTCATCTTTCGATAGTCCTTTTTTTAATCTACCACGGTTTCGGAGAATAAACCAGACGAAACGCAGAAGTATGACACTTCCACTTCGCGCCGGCCTTTTGTAAGGCCGAGGTACTTCCCCGGACCGACCCGCCAACAGCGTAGACTTTCGTGGCCCTACCTCTGTTTAAAATGATGATGTCATTGATTGGAAACGTAATGATTTAGGTGTATACTGACGACCCGAACGGCCTAGTCGGTAGTGTACCAGCCTTCTGCGCCAGAGGGTGTGGGTTCGATCCCCACTACTGGAAAAATATTGTGTGATGAGCATAGTGTTTTTCTAGTGTCTGGGTGTTTATATATGTATAATGTGTATTTATTTACAAACGAAAAGTATGTTTAAGTATGTCTATCAGTTTTCTAGTACCCATAGTACAAGCGTTGCTTAGTTTGGGACTAGAGAATGTTGTGTAAAAAGAAGTGTGAATGTATGTGAAGTATGAAGTATGAAAAAAAGAATGTGTCCTAAAAATATTTATATTTCATTTATATTGTCTTTAACTGTATCGCGTCGCGTCGTATTCGTTGACAGGACCCAATGGCGTCGTACGACGTGAACTCGCACGACTCCGACCCTCAGCCCCGTTACGACATGATAGATTCGAACCGACACGGCACGCGGTGCGCAGGCGAGGTGGCCGCCACGGCTAACAACTCGCTCTGCGCCGTCGGGGTCGCCTTCGAAGCGAGCGTCGGAGGTAAAGCTTGATGAAACTGTTGTAAAAATCACGATTTGGTTATAACCTTTTCGGAAAATCTATTGGTTATAGTTATCTACTAGTTATAGTATTTAAAAAGAAAGAGTTCCAATCATAATATACAACTTTACCCAATGTACGAAGACATCTCAATGTATACGGTAATATCAAGAACTACTGTAATAACTTAAAGATAAAATTAATTACTTTTCTTTATTCATCTCGCTAGCTTTTTTGTACTATATAAGTTTTAGGGTCTCAGCAAGGACCGTCTTAATCTGTCCTAGCTTTCTTAACTTATCTATTTGTGCCGATAGCTCAGAGCTCAGGGGCTTCAAATTATTAATTGCAATTGTAAGTGCTGACTTATCATGTTCTCGATGGTCACAAAGAAGATCGTAACTTGTATATTTTCGATAGAATAGTAAAAAAATTAAAAATTTCAAAGCTATTTAATGTCCGCCATTGTGGGCTAGGCAAAATGTTCTCTCTCTATAGAGATTTTTGGCTTTTAACACCAGTAGGACATACCTACAAAATGCCGTTTTACTTTTGCTTTACGTTTTTCCTTAGTGCGCGTATTTTAGAACGCATATTTTAAACTAGAGACCCAATTATGTGCCGATGAAATTTCCTTTTCAAATTCCAGCCAGTCACTGACTGTCAATTCCATTGCTGGGTTCGATATCGAAATGTTTTATTTCGTTTGTCGTCTTATTGCGATCGTGTTTCCTTTGAACGTTCCTGATGTAAAATATTTTCAAAATATAAAGGTGTGCGAATGTTGGATGGAGACGTGACTGACGCGGTGGAAGCGAGATCGCTCAGTCTCAACCCTCAGCACGTGGACATCTACAGTGCCTCCTGGGGACCGGATGACGACGGAAAGACCGTCGATGGCCCTGGGGAACTCGCCACCAGGGCTTTCATCGAAGGCGTCACTAAGGTATGTTATTATCCTAGATTTATTACTATTTTTTCTATATAATACATAGTAGTAGCAGTTTTTGCTCTATTTTTATTTTATTTATTTACACTATATGCACAAACTTGTACAAAGGCGGGCTTAATGCCAATGGCATTTTCTACTAGTGAACCTCATTCTCTGTCTTCTTCTTTTCACGCGAAAGTAAAAATCTTTTAGCACATTCTGATCAAATTTTATACATATACATAACCTTAGGATTTTAAATCACTTATTATGAGATTGCTGCTATGATATGTTTTTAAAATAAATTCTTTGCCGCTGCTCTAGAACGAGGGTTCTAGGTTCGAACCTACGTATTTCGGTTTCGCGCCTAGACGCTTTAACCACTTAGCAAAACGGTAGATGACACACTGATGAAAATTTCCATATTTCTTTTTTTTCTTTCTTTAATTTATCTAGCTATTTCTTTTTCTATCAGCATCAGATAATGGTTCTAAAACGTAATTAAACCTTTATTTTGTAATTAGCATTCCAGCATTTTAGGATATAATAATATATGTTATGCAGTAATAGTAAAATTTTGGCAAACTATCCTTGTATCATGTAGAAAGGATCAAATATGACGCTTAGTTCAAGTAACTATACCATAAGAATAATTTAAAAATTTCTAACGCGAAACTAAAACTTTTCCTCTTGCAGAAAGTTTATGACAGGGTATTACTACAGAAATATCTCTAAAATTCACTCACGTCAAAGAATTTTCAATAACTCGGGGCATAAAAACTGTTTTAGACCCGAATATACTAAAATCTATGGTAATGTGGGAGGGATATGTTGACTCAATTATATTAAAAAATAGGGCAAAAACAAAATTCATTACTATATAAAAATTATATATAATACTTTTATATTTATATAAAAATAAGCTAAAGGCCAGTATATAATGGAATGAATCTTGTTGTATAACTTTAAATTAAATAGACACAGAGAATTCACGATATTACTAGTTCGTAGTAATTGTTGAAGCAGTTTATTTTCCAATCGTATGAAAAAGCTGAATAAATTCCTTCTATTCAAGGGCCGGAACGGTAAAGGCTCGATATTCGTTTGGGCGTCAGGCAACGGTGGACGTGAGCACGACAACTGCAATTGCGACGGATACACGAACTCAATCTGGACGCTGTCAATATCGTCAGCGACAGAGAGGGGCGAAGTGCCGTGGTACTCAGAAATGTGCAGTTCAACTCTAGCAGCCACATACAGCAGTGGAGCAATCAATGAGAAACAGGTATGATGAAAGCTCTCATCCTCGACCTGATTGTCGTAGTCGATATCAAACCACTTTTTAAAGCCACCGGTTGTGGTTTCGAATCTCATTATTGAAAAAAATTGTGATGAACATAGTGTTTTTCTAATGTCCGAGTGTTTATATACCTATAATATATTTTAGGAAATGAATGCATGTTTAAGTATGTTTATCCGTTGTCTAGTACCTACCCTGATACAAGCTTTTTTGAGTTTGGGTAAAATAGTAGATATCTCGAAATATTTATTGAAAACAATATGATGTTTTCCCAATTACATATTAATATGTATTTTCTGTTATTAAGGTGGTAACAACTGATCTGCATCATTCGTGTACGGCGGGCCACACAGGTACGTCGGCGTCGGCGCCTCTGGCAGCTGGCATCTGCGCACTGGCACTTCAGGCCAACCGAGACCTCACCTGGCGCGATATGCAGCACATCGGTATTATATACATATGTTTGAAACAAAATAATTAGTTTACTATTCATCTACTTGCATCTATTTGCTCGCGGCTTGTATAGACTTGGTTCTAGGTGTTTGCACTTGTACAAGAGAAATAGATTTTCGAGTATTTTTCGTGTCATGTCTGAAAACGCCAGTAGTTTTAAGGCATGTAACAGAGTGTATTTTGACGCAATAAACGTTTAAGAACCTAAGATATTAGCTTTATCTATAACTTAATATAAAAATATTAAAAGTTTTTTTGACGAAAATGTGGCAAGCGAGCTGGGGTTTCTCCTGATGTTAAGTGAGAACCGTCGGCCATGATGCGTTGCCAACTTTTAATAAAGTGGGCTTCGGCAATCTCACTCACCGGACGAAACACAGAAGTATGACACTTCCTTCCACTTCGCGCCGATTTCTTTAAGGTCGTGGTACTTTCCTTGACGGACCTGTCCATTCGTGCAAAAGCCGAAACTGTTGCGTAGCCCTCCCACAGTTAAACTTAAAACTTATTCTACAACGAGAGAACGTTTTACCGTTAACTATCAACTTCTATCTTCTATCAACTGATATTTTCGTTTTCAGTCCGTAGACTAATGAATCTTCATCGAACGCAAAACCCGTGGGCTAGCCAGACCCGAAGTGTTTGAATTTGAAACTGTCAAATACGAGACACGTCCGAACTTGCGTGTAATGCCAGTTATAATGTAGTTACTGTGTATACGAACCACAGGTTGGTGTATACGTGTACACTAGGTATGTACGTGTACACTTGGTATATACGTGTACACTTTGTATATACGTGTACTCTTTGTATGTGTACACTTTGTATATAACTTTAAGTACGAATACACATCCCCGAGCAGCAAACAGCTAACGAAAGAACACGAGGCCACGAGGCTACCTTCTCGATTAAAATGCGTGCCCGCAGTGGTGCGCACGGCGCGGCCCGAGCGGCTCAGCCTGGAGGGGGGCTGGCGCGTGAACGGCGTGGGCCGCAACGTGTCTCACTCCTTCGGCTACGGGCTGCTGGACGCTGCTGGTATGGTCCGGCTGGCGCGGGCCTGGCGCACCGTGCCGCCCCAGAGGCGCTGCGAGCTGGCGGCGCCGCGGCAGAAGCGGGCGGTGCCCCCTCGCTCCTCGGTGTCCATGGAGGTTGGTTGGAATCCACGCTCAAATTAATGTCTGTGTGCACAGTTAAAATCGATGATGGTCAAAGTGAAGGTTTAAATTTCACCTTTCATTTTAATTCATTGATTTTACGTCGTGTGGCCATTCAAACAAAGGAATATGCCATGTGTAAAGTGAACGTTTACGAGTAGTTTTGGTTACTAAACTCTGCTCACTGTTTAATGTGTTGTGGTTTATACATTTATTAATTAATAATTGGTTCCAATTATATTAAATAAGTCAGTAATATCTTGTCTGCATCGTAGCCTAGTCTAGTAGTTTTAGTGGCTAGCATAATGTAAAATAATTTATTTGCTGATCACAACGAAACGAAATATTCAACGCATTACACGTTTACATACGAAAGTAAGATCACCATTCCATAATTAGATGTTTGATCTAACATCTACGGTATGTGATCAAATGTTGGTGCAGTTGACCGAGTAGAAGTAAAACAAGAAGTAATTAAGGGTTTTAGCTAATTTTTACTATATGCGATTAAACGTTGGTGTAGTTGGACGTTGGGGCTTGCCCGGGCGTGAACTATTTGGAGCACGTGCAAGCGCGGGTCTCGCTGTCGGCAGCCCGCCGTGGTGATCTACGAATCGCTCTGACCTCACCCGCTGGCACCAGGGTTACGCTGCTAGCACCCAGGTAAGCTTTTTAAGTTCTAGTCCAATCGAACAGTAAAAAAACACTTTATATTACATAGGAACGCAGGCGCATCTGCTAAGATGTTAACTTCGATGTATGTCATTACTGTGGCAAGTTCAACGGGACAACAATTTACAAATAATTGATCTGCACCTAAGTTTCCATCAAGACTTATACTGGGGGTAATTTTATTCCATATGCGAAAGTTGACGACCAGAAAAACTAGTTTATTTATTACTTAACGCCTTCAAGGCCATTTTAAGTCTGGAAATATATCAAATATTTTATTCCAAACATGATTTAAATTAAGGGATTCCTAATGTTGGAAAAAAAATTAATTGCTGCGTCTGCTATAATCATAATTTAACTCGTATATAGGTTTTTGTTTTTCAACATTATCTACCCTCGTCTACTTCGTTGTAAGACTCAGTAATTTTCAAAACATCTCTTTAATGAGTTAAATTATAGTGTTCCGTCGTCTGTATATAGAATATAAACGAAAATGAGACATACAGGATTGTTATATTAATCAAGCACTTGACGCAACAGTCCAAAATAACATCATTGGACGAATAAAATTGTATTCAATCGTTTTGTTTGAAGTATTCTAATAAGAATCAACAATATACAATAAACTCGCTGACCCAGGCGAATTCATTGCCATTAGCATGATCAGTAACTGAGTGGAACAATATTCATAAGTATCATCCTCATTATAAACAGTCGTTAACATTATAAACTATCACTAAATTTAACAATAAGGATTTATGTTTAGGGTTCCGTACCCAAATGGTAAACGTACCAAAACGGGACTCTATTACTAAGACTCCACTGGCTGTCTCTCTGTCTGTCTGTCACCAAGCTGTTTTTCATGAGCCGTCATAGTAAGACAGTTGAAATTTTCACAGATCATGCCGCAACAAATAAAAAACAGAACAGAATAATATTTAAGCGGGGCTGCCATATAACAGACATGACTTTTTTGCCGTCTTCATAGATTAGCCTTATTGCGTATTAGGAAAGGGATTCGTACGGAACCCTTCGGATGCCAGTCCGAGTCGCACTTGGCCGGTTTTTAAGTAGAAATTTACACGTAAATAGATATATTAGATTTGTTGGGGTTGATAATTGAAAACTAAATACTTTGCAAATATCTTTGAAATAATTTTAAAAAGTTATCATGCGCTTACTTTTAAGCGATATGTGTCTTTAACAATAATAGAAACAGGATCGTCAATATTCAACATTCCAATATTCTGTGAAAGTTTATTGGTGGTAGGGCCACGCAGTAGCCTCGGCTGTTGCATAAATGGGCAGGCTCATCCGGGTGAGTACCACGTCCTCACAGAAGACCGGCGTAAAGTGAAAGTATAATACTTTCGCGTTTCGTCTGCTGGGTGAGGTTGCCGGTGCCCAATTTTCAAAAGGTTGTCAACACCTCTGGAACCCTCGAGTGTAGCAGATGTCCATGGGCGGCGGTATTCACTTAAAATCAGGTGAACCTTCTGCTCGTTTGGCAACTTTTCACATAAAAAAAAAATAAAAGTTTTAAGTGAAAACATAAATTTTCAATTACTTTTTTAAGGGCCTTTTGTTGATAATATGACAGTGGATATAACTATTTGTCAATGATCCTTACACATTGTTAAAAGTTTTTAATATGGTATTAACATATCAATATTATTATCTCACCATTTTATTTACACAAATTGTCATTAGCTATATTTGTCGTATATTCTTAGTAAAAGTGTTTGTACCAATGTTTGTATTTTTAAGATAAACAATGTACAAAATAAAAGCTATAAAATGATATTTGGATCATTAGTTTTCACAAAACAGTAAGATCTAATTATATCTTTGAAATAATAAGATTATTTAGCATCTTAATTAAACAAATTGTTCTAGTTTGTGGCGATTCACAATCTTAAGATATTACTTGATCTGTTAGTTACCAAGCACAAAGACTGTCTTAACAATTTAATACAAGTATTTAACCAAGCCGGTTACTTCTTTTCAGCTAATAGTGTCGCATTGGTATAAATATACAGAAATACAAACTGCTTTAAACGTTTATTTTCTGTAACAAGCTTAGTGAGCGTAAGCCAATGAACATCTTTACAAAAATCCCTAATAAGATTCTCTGGCTTATGGTAACCACTGTGATCTTGCTAGCGAAGAAAATGTATGTACATTTTTTATGACCGAGCTCAGCTAACGATTTTTCATTTGTGTTAAGTAATTTATGTACACCTCAAAATAGTCGACTAAAGGGATATTTAATTATGAGTTATAGTAATTTGAACTTCTGTGCTCCGGAATTCAAGCTAATCTATATATATTTAAAATATGTAGAAAAAGTGCGAAAAGATTGTCGCCGTTGTGGGAATCGAACCCACGTCTTCGGCATTCGCGGCCTGACGCTCTAGCCACTGAGCTAAACGGCTGATTGCCACACCGACGAAAATCTTAACGCATTCTTCTACATTGTTTTCTTAGCATTTGAAGCAATGCTTGGCGCCATCTATTGTTATATCCTTTCCAGCATACAAACAATTTCGAATATCGTTTTACAACGATAATTCGAACGAGAGATGACGCCATTGCTTTTTTTTTCAATCTTAAGTGCAAGGATTAGCACTATAAACAATTTAAAATTTCTATATATATTTGTTTATACAGCAAAATATGATAAAATACCCAAAGATATAGAAGATAGAAGTATTATGCTTAAAAGTATATTTTTGGTTAAATAAATACTTTCCGAAGCTCAGTACAAATATGTCTGGGTGCTAGTCTCCTCTTACAGCATACAGGAAAAAGTGGTGCAATCTATCAGCGTTGGTATTACCATACGAGTAAAATAAGAGTGACGTCAAGGCAAGAGTGAACTCTTACTGATTTGATGTTTATCACCTAAGCCCACCACTGTGAGATCGTAGTCAATACATTATCATCGTGGGACTATTATCCCTTCCCCGTTAAGCACTGGCAAGGTTATGAGCAGATCCAAAAAAATTCTTAGTTCGATTAATTTGAGCTGAGCCAACCTGAGCTCGTATCTGCAATGGGTCAGCTAATATTTAATTAAGGAATAAAATTAAGAATATTTGAAATATTATTATGAAGAGTAAAAGAAACACTATTTCAAGTAATCGTCCTTTAATCAAAACTGTTAATAACTTTATAATAATTAAAGTTAAAGCTAATTTCACTAAACTCGTATTACGAATGAGCCCGCTCCTTGGGCTCAGTCCATTTTATACACCTCTCCTCTCCTCTACACAATATTCGCACCTCATCGCTACTACCCTCCTCTCCGCAATATTTGCACCTCACCACTACTACCCTCCTCTCCGCCAATTAATTTAGTATAGCTCCACTACACACCGTCACAATATTATAAATCTTGATATTTTTCTAAGGAGCGTCAAAATTTGTGTTTTAACAGGGCGCACGATTCCTCCCACGCGGGATTCAACTCGTGGCCTTTTATGTCCGTGCACATGTGGGGAGAGTCTCCTTTGGGCGTCTGGCAGCTTGAGGTATCCAACGAGGGCCGATATATGGGTAAGTGCATCACGAACAGGAGGGCCATTATACAAATAGTGTAATAGCAAACAAAATGTTGTGTAATAATATACGATGTGTGGCAACAGTTACGTAGGAGAACTCGTTTCTAATATATGGTATTACTTTTCTCTTGATAACTGGAAATTTCTTTCATAAAATTCAATTTACTACTGTCACTATTTGTAAGCATTTTAAAATTCCTTTCATGGATGGAAAAAATTATGCGTGTTGGAAATTTCAAAATTCAACTTATATTGTATATAAGTCGAATTTTGTCTTATAATCGAATGATAGCAACAATTGACGAAATTCAATATTTATTAAAAATACGTGCGATAAATAACATTTTTACTCTTAATTTATTATACATGCGAGTAGCACATCTTTTAAAGAAGGTTTGAGGATATGTTGATTAAATCCAAATGTGGTGTAGGTCGAGCGACATTGCAAGATTGGTCACTGACATTGTATGGGACCAGCTCGCCTGCCGCTAAAAATGATCCGATACCGTTCCGCATTCCCATTGTCAGTCGCAAGAGTAATGCGACGCGGCCTGTTGTGGTACAAGCGCCCCGAAAGGCGAACAGGGGCAAAACGATCAGCAGTGCGCCCACTTATACCGTGGGACTGGTGAAAAGGAAGAAGAACAAGAACTCGAAGAATGCGAAGGGCTCACAGAAAGTGAAGCAGAACCAGCCGGCGACGCGTTCACCGGTCGAGAGCACGGTGGCGACACAAATCACTCCGAACTTAAGCCTCAACTTGAAAGGGAGCCACGCTGATCCACAGCCAGACCCCAGAGGCCGAAAAATGTCTGACTTATTCGAGCAGTATCCGAAAATCCAACGAATATACCCCGCTCCACTTCAAGCCAACGGTACTTACTGCATGCAATTGCGTCTGCAGGCCAGCACGGCTATCAAGTGTCTGCTGCTAGTGCATGCCGTGTGTTTGCAATTTTGTTGCAGATCAGTTCTGATTTTAGTGAATGATCGTTCATCGGCGTTATTTTTTATTTATTTTTATGATTCTTGTTTCCAGTTTACACTGCTTCCGAAACTAGTTTGTGATTGTGCAAATTTTTGATTTTATTTATTTTTCACCATTATGTGAGAAGCGCTTGGTTAATCTTCCTTGTTTTCAGTTTTGGCACATTTTCTTACATAGACTAATGTTTTCTTTAGTACTCCGTTATTGTTTTTTTGTAGCTCTAGAAATGGTTGATAAAATTGAAAGTATCCTTTTTATGCTCTGCTTTTATAACGTAGATTTTCTAGCCTATGTATTTTTTTATATATGATCAATATGTATGTAAATTACACTTTTAACGTATTTAAGCAATATAAAGAAATTGATTGAGTTGCTAAAATAGGTAGTAGTATAATTGTTTTATCAGGACATGACGAGACTAATTTTTTGTATTATAACTCTACTTTTAAATATACAGCCTTTTCGTCTCTTACCCATACTTACTTTTAATAATTAATAAAATGTTAATAGTATCTAACTTACAACTATTAGATTATTGTTGTCACGATATTAGTCTTAAACTTTTTTTGAGTCCCTATTGACTTTTATGTATCTGCCCGCAGCTGGGCCTTTGACGCAATGGGAGTTGGTATTCTACGGAACGGAAACACCGCCACAAGACTACGACGCGTCTCCAGAAAGCAATTCGCTGGGTACGAGTGCTGGGTTCGCGGAAGCGGGAGCGCACGCGGACGCGCACGCGGGGACACACGCGGGCGCGGGAACGGGCGCGGTGGCGGGGACGGGAACGGGCGCGGTGGCGGGAGCGGGAAAGGGTGTGTGGGGTGATTCGAGCGTGCCCGACTCAGAGGAAGTGAGACAGAACACGATCGACGACGATCTCGCTCTGGTTTGGCACGATTCGCACGCGGTGAGCAAAATTTCTCTTTATTCTGGTTCGATTTAAATTGTCTAAGATTTAAGAGTTAAATTAACTATGTTGGATGTCTAGTTATAAAGAGGAGGATATTTCATATTTGAAATATTCATTATTTTGTATACTTTTGCACAAGTTTGTTTTTATCTTATTCCATTATTGATATTATACATATTGAAGCATTACATCACAGAACTTTGTTTTTTATAAAAAAATATAATAATCTTAATTGTAAATAAATATAGAATAACTGAAAACTAATTTAAACCATGCTTAGTGATTTTATTTTGATTAATAATTTGTGTATCAAATTTAGTATATTTGGCATAGTTTTTTTTTTCTGAAAACATAAACTATTAATCAGAGCTAATAGTCTAATCATGACTTTATTGACATAGATTTTCCAATTATCCTGAGTAAGAGCCGAAGAAACCCTTTCGAGTGTGGTACGAAATTATATTAAAATATTGGCTGTAACTTTGCTGTATCTAAACAACTTACTTATCATAAAAATAAATAATACCTAATGATTAAACATATTGTAAAATGTTTCCACAATTTCCTTCATCGTGTTAAAAAGTTTATTAACTTTTTGACCAAGTACCCGCTCATTAATGTTTATTTAGTTAGTAATTAAAATTGTATATTTTAATGGAACTAACTTTTTCTTTTTATAGTTTAGTTTTAGTTTTCATTTTAAATATTTGAAACGGTTTTTAGATAATTTATTAATTTGTTAATACTAGATAGTATTCTACATATTTTTGTATGTTATATTTTTAATTTTATATTAAATACCATCTAGTTTTCCACGTTTTTCGCCCATTCTGTTTAGTTATAAACTAATTCTAATATGTTAATATTTTTTATCTATCCTTTGTACAAATATTTTTATGAGTATTGGTTCAAGCTAGGTTTGGGTTAGTTGTTAGCAAGCAAAGCGTATTTACAAAAGGCAATAACTAACCCCAAACTAGCTTGAAATACGTACGCTTTGCATGCCAAAAACTAAGCCAAAACTAACTTGAACCAATACTCAAAAGTATATACTTTGCTTGACGTATGGTTTAAAATCACGTCAACTCTTCAGTCAGTGGTATGCATTGATTACTGTTCGAATTAAGTACGTGGGTGCAAATATTTTTGGGAATAGTCCCATAGGCTCATAGTACAAAACTCAGTGTAAGCAGCTCTAATCTGTTTCGACTATCAGACTGATACAGGGACCACATAAAATTCTTTAAATGCCAATTAGTCGTCATCAGCTTTGATTTCGCTACTATACTGAAAACTTTAAGCTTAAGTAAATGTCGGTTTTGTCCGTTCGGTGTTGTTAACGAACCCGCGTCCTGCGCAGATCCGCGAGGAGGGTCTTCTGGGCTCGTCGGGCTCGTCGGGCTCGGTCGGCGACGCGGTATCAGGTTGCGCCGCCCGCGCTCCCCTCACCCCTCACCGCTGTCTAGGTTTGTGTTTCTTGCTCTTGCTGTTGTGGGCGACCGAGGCGTTGTTCACGGCCGACGGACGCGGTAATTCCGGTAGACTTAGAGCAAGCGATTGTGCACTAACCGCTTGGGTGGGGCCCGGGCTGGCGAAGCTCCCGCGCGGCTCAGACCAGAGACCCCCGCGAGCACCGTGCTTGCCCCTCCCGCATGCCCAAACATGCTAGTGCCAATCCAATTGTGATCCTAGTTCAATTCAATAGGGCGTTTACTGATAAGTACAAGCTGCTATTATTATTTCGATGTTATCAACACAGCACTATCTACCTGTTCTGTTTAGCACCGACAGATTTCATCTCGATGGCCTATAGTTTAATGCGATAATAGAGTAATTTTGTTTTCATTATCATTGTCTTCTAAGCTCTTATTATATATTGATATAGTGATATTTAAATATATTAGTTCATTTTATATCGTTATGTAATTACAAAAAAAACAGATGTATTAAGATTATGTTATTACTAGAAATTTGTTGGTGTTAACGATACAGTAACTACATTTATGGCCGCTGTTCGATCATAGACGTATGCTAATTTAATTTTTTTTAATCTTACCCATCCACGTGGTAAGCATAATTCCAATTCGGTATCCGAAGAAATTTACACTGATCCGATTTATTGCGGTATATAGATGAACTTAGCAGTAATAGTGAGTGTTAGAATCCTTAAGCATAATAATTGTAAGGTCCAGAAATTTCGCAACTAATTTAACGACTTTGTGTTCAGGCGCATAATATAACTTAGCATTACAAGGCCGTAGAAAAATTCATTTGGGGACGGTTATAGTCAGAGAAAACATGAATTTGAGGCTATATCATAAATTATTGTGGAGAGTTTGAAAGTTTTTGCTCGGTATATTTTCTCAGAGCACGTAAAGGCCGGAAGTCAATTGAACTCCCCAACTACGCTCTTGATGCAACGCATAATAGTTGATTTAAGATGTTATATTACTAATAAGGAAATTCTGGGCCTAATTTTCGTTAGTCTGTAATCAAGTGTATGTATGTAATTTTATAATATCTTTTCTATTGTGTTGCGAAAATGCGCAACATCCGGAAATCACTCTGGAACTTTATACAATTAGTACAGATTGTGTTCACCTTAATACTAATGCCTAAACGGACAGTGAATTATTAAAAATTTAGCTGTTAGCTCAATGTTTAATAGACCTTATGTAGTATGTAATAACTCATTTAATTGACAGTTTGGGGAGCTAAATAATAAGTGCAATTACATTAATAAAAATCTATGGCGTCCATTTTAATGAAGTAATTGCATCGTGAAATCGAAAACAATAATACAGCGAGTGTGTGCTTGAGGGTTCCGCCATGTTTTCATGTTAACGTTTTAAAGGCGCAGCTGACCTCTTCTAAGTATTCTGTACTTAATCACGTTAATTATTTCAGTCCATTGTTATACTTCTTGCACCTTTGTTGTTTGTTAATGCAGAGAATGTTTATTTTCCTCACAAAGTATCTGTACGTATAATAATTTTATTGATACGATTGTTACGATGTCGCATGCTATTTATTTAAAGTATAAACAAATAACACTACCAGTTTAAAACGAATACCAAATACGAACGCATTTATTTGTTGTTTCGTTTCTCAGATGATTTATTTATTTATTGGAAATAATAAAAGGTAACCTAATGTTTTAACTATAATGAAGTGTGTTTAAGGAGATGTTATGGCCATACTTTCACTAGCAATCCATAATTTTATGAAAATAAACGTAGAAAACAATGCACCGTACAACAATAATAAAAAATGGGCGAGAAAGTTTTATTTAATCTGAATTTTCAAAATACAAATAACCTTTATTTTAAAAGTTAGCCATACAGCACTAGTAAGTATAGTCATAACGATACACATATCTATTATTTTAAGTTAACGTGAAATTAAGTTAATTAGGGTTCTTAAATTCATTGTAATAAAATTCTTACTTCACAATTTTAATGTGGCAGCTTTGCGTAATGATAAAACATTCATATGTTTACGTAAGACAAAACTTGATATTAAACTAAAACTGCTACTCAGCACATAAATATTGGCTTTCATTTTATTTGAATAGCCTTATGTTTTTCTTTCGGGCCGAAGAAAAATTACCTAGCAACATAAAAATTTACATTTTTCCAACATGCTGGATTATAATGGCTATAAAGCGTTCGATCACTGGTTAAAAGCTGTCACATAGATTTTGTAACAGATCAAATAGTTGTGTAACCCACGATCGGTGCGTACAATATCTCAAATAAAATTTTACTGTATATTGTGGTTGTGATCATAGCTTTGATTGCCAATCCGTTAAGTACTAAGTGTAATGTGTATATATAATTAGGTAGGTATATATATATGGGTATAAATAAATTTGGAGACTTGTATACAAATTTGCTCAGAAACATGTTAGAAACGACTGATCGATCAATATTACTAATTGACTGGTAGTTAACTTATTTCTACTGTAACTGTATGCGAATTGATGTGAAGAGTGTTTCTAAAACTGTGTAGAAATAAATGCTAAAAATTTACGGTGGACAGTATGAACTTCAGTACCATCGGTAATCGCTCATTTTTATAACAGTTTTACTTTTCAAATGTAAAATTGTTAATCGAGGTCGGCATTGAATAGACAATTAGTGAACTGTATTTATTAATGTAAATGTTAAAATATAATTTGTATATATCGATACTGATGTGAAAGGAAAATAATAAAACTGTTTCCTACAAAAATTTCATTTTATTATAAGTGGATGTCGAGTCTTGTCTCTGATCGCAGCTCAGGCCTGATTTTTGTTAAAACTATGATCTATCAATTTGGACTGTTATGTTAATAACTGAACTTTGTGTTAGTAAAAGATATTTTTGATGACATTATTTGATGTTATGTCTCATTTATTATTGCATGCTAGCTTTGCTTATATCAGCTTATATAACCAAACCTGTTTTTTAACAACCTTCAAATGCATTAATTTCTCAATTAATTTTGCACCCTTATGTTCCTTTTGGCTAAAATCTTTCATCATTTACTTGTACACTTTATTTATTTAGATCGGAGAATTGAGTTTTTGTTATTATCTGATTTCATTTAATTTTGTGCACCCTCCTACTGCATGCGTCAATCACTTTTGGTTGCAACCTCTTTGTATGAGAAAACATCAGCCGTATTTATTTTATACACAAAGTTATTTGAGATCAGTGACGAGATTCTACTTACCATTCCTTAAATTTCCAAATCCCTAATCTTACAACACTATGTTAAGTGTCTTCGACGCGCATCTTCTGCATCATTGGTCTGCTGGCAAGAGATGGCAACATGCATGGACGCTGACACGGTGCTGGGTGGTGTTGGTCGTTCCCTTGTTTACCAATGTAATAAAAACTTTTGTTCTTTCTCCCAATAGAATGCGCGAAGGGTTTGCACTTGTACGACGGGCGATGTCACGAACGTTGTCCCGATGGTACGTATGGCAGCGAGGTTTTGACGGAACGAAGCTCAAGAAGGCGCAATCTTACCTACTTTTCCGAACCCACTAGCCTAAACAAACGGGACGGCCTTAATGTTTCTAAACCAACAGCTACTGAAGCGCTTGACCTGGAACCGTTCCCTGATTCCAAAAGGAAATCGCCACTTGTCTGCCTGCCATGTCATTACACTTGCGCCACATGTTCCGGACCTCGAAACAGCCAGTGCTTGTCTTGCTTAGACGACGCACAGCTCTTCAGCTTGTCTAATGATGCATCAAAGTTCTATTGTTACCCAAACACAGCTGTTCCACAGATAACGAATGCCCATTGGCATTACAAACTTAATATTATTTTTGGTGTTGTTCTACTTGCTTTTTGTTTAGTAGGCTTGTACATTATTGTGACTCTATTGATTAAAAAATTCGGCTTTTTGAATACAACAAATTACAGTTCGAATATAAAAGTTGCGTACAACAAATTAGCCGTCGATGAGAAAGATCAAAGTGCGATGGAGATAGAAGAAGAAATACGAAATGCAATCAAGTATTCCAGTGAAAGTGAATCTGACGATGACATACGTCCTTAGGTATGGGCCTTTGTTTGCGACCAACGAAACTGGATTAACTGGATATTTGATTCTTTTTATTATAACATATGCAGGGCGATATTTGTGATATATATTAATCTGTTGTCACAAGCATTGGAAATCAGTGTTTAAGTTGTAGTTTCATAGTTGCTGAGCTCGAGGTGTAAGTGTTAATAGTATAATCATTTAATTCCAAAGATGTGAAAAACATTCCTTTTGATCATAGAAATAAAACTACTAACATATTTTAAAACTACTATTACTTTTTCGCATTTATAAATGAAGTGATATTTTTTTGAGGTCTTAAAAACTGTAATGTCTCAATAAAAAAATAATGTGAACGTATTTGTCGGAGTATTATTATTATTTTGAAACTTACTTGCTATTTTAATAAATTTTATATTAAATGGATGATATGACGTTATACACGTAAGATTTACTACTTAGTTACAAGAGTTAATAAATAGTTTAATCTTAGCGTTGAGCATGATGCTCAATTCTATTCTGATGAAATTCGGAAACAGTGTCTAGTTTACTGAATTTGATATGAGATGGAGATTTATGTTCGAAGCCATTTCGTCAACATTTTCACCATTGAAATAGTAAGGAAAATAATAATTGATTTAGGTACATAATAAGTTTGCCGGAAGGTATATTTACTCGGCAAGTTTATCCAAATGCTCATAACGGTTTAACGATGAGATGATTCAGTCCAGTTGAATAACCTCAAACCGTCATTTCCGCACAATATATTTCTCATGAGCTAGTTATTATAAAACATTGTGTAGATATAGTTGTAAATATGTACTTGTGACCAGGCTCGGACTGTGCTCAATAAATGGTATGGATACTCATATATTATTTTGGATTCAATTAAAGTACAGATAAGTTTAGGGTTATGCCTTACAGTCTTCTTTCAGCTCAAGATTGAAAAACGCTTCATTTTAACTAGAAAGGTTTCTCAGTCCCAGCCTGCGTGCGGCGTACCATATCATGATGCATAGAACCATCTACTTAAGATTGCTCAAGTTGCCATGTCGTATACATAGAGTAATGATTTTATAGATTTTTTTCTGTTTCGTTATGTAAATATTTTTGTGAAATGTGAAATTGTAAATAAACAAGTTCCTATTTTGATATGCGTTTTATTGATAAATAGACAAATATTGTGGCTATAACTATTATATTGCACCCTACTAGCATTATATTTTTAAGTAGGTTAGGGGATTGTTTTATTATGTGGAATTTTATTTGAATGTGACTACAATTTTGATATAATAATAATTTTCTCCACCCAGCCTATAGCATTTTTCCTTTTCAGTTACTTTAGATAAACAAAAAAAACTTTCTTGTTTCTGTATAAATTTATAATTGGTTTTACCCTCTATGATTTTAAATTTCTTAGATACATTAATGTATATATACAATAAACACCTCTTTTTAAAATTATGCCTTACATTAAGTATCCGCCTGCTTAAAACTAGTTAAACTTTAAATGAAAGCTGAGGTGTTAGTGTTTATTTCTAAATAGAAAAATTTTGGAAACAAAATGTTCAAGTGTTTCCTAATTTTAGAGAAAACAATTTTGAAAAGTAATTTTTGGTTTTGGAAAGTAATTAATGATGTATATGGCTGACTTTGATAGGCAGAACATACATTGTTTGTACAATTTTATTGTTTTTTAAACATATTTTTTTTCCAGGTCTACACAAAATTTCTTCAAACTTCAGTACTTTTTCTTTCTCCTGCCCTTATATATATATGAATCAGTTGTTAATGATGTTTGCTAAGTTTTTATACGACCGGCAGCTTGCCTGCCATCAACCCACCTTCGGAACAAACACCCAGAGCTGGAATAATTATCTATGGGTCACACAAGTACTTGTCCCGTGTGAGAATCGAACCCACAGCTTAGGAGCTGAGCCACCGAGTCTCATTTCAGTATTTCACGTTGGTAAATTTCTTGTTTTAATTAAAAAAACGGTACTTCATAAAAGTCAGTATCAGATTATGCTGATTTTACGAGAACCTAGTGCTTTTTTTGCCAAATCCCGGCATACGTGTGGTAGCATCGCAGTAAACACTCGTTACTGCAGCGTTGTGGCTGACGCGAGTCTCTACGTACTCATGTATTTTAATTAACACTTTCAAATTTTGTGTTGGTAGCGGAAAGCAAACTGAAGCGGTGAATTATAAAATGATTGAATAACCTTTTTCAAAGGATGAGTGAAGAACATGTAAAAAAATACTTTTTGATAATAGGAATCGTTGTTATAGAAAAAGTTGTAGGCATAAAATAGTATCTACTGCTTGAGTGGAAGCAAATCTAATGTACCGACCTGGAAAGGAATCGACTGACTTTAAAGTAAGACGTTCGCCTCTTTCTTTAATCAAATGCTATGGTATTTTGCTCAAGGGGCGAGATCTGTGAAATATCTTAAAACTTTTTTTTTACAACACTTGAAAAATACCAATTACTACTATATTTTCGAGTTTTTGAGTACTAGCAACTTTTACCTAATTCAATGTATAGTTCCCCTTTTTTTTTAATAAAATGTATTGTTAATATGAAATGGAGCAATTTACCAATTGCGTATTGGGTCACCGGGATCGCGCAAACCCATAACTATCGTTTCTATTCCTTATTTCATGTCTTTAAAAAAACTAGTGGCACATACTCCCTTTAAGATTTACACTCATAATACTGACGGTGCCGAAATTTTCATTTAACGTCGATTCTTTATGAATAGAGACATTGTTCTTGTTTAGGCAAGAAACTGGGGTTTCCAATAGTAAAACTCAGTAATTTGTGATTTTACAACTTTATTGCTGATTTTATACAAGAGAAGTGGTGTGTGCAATGGTTGGATTTTGAATATAACAAATGACATCTACCTTACAATTATGTAATAAAATATTTTACTCTATTAATTTAGAAGTACCGACACAATCAATCAGTTTGCTATTAATATACTGTAGGCGCTTGAACAGACATCTTACAAGTTAAACGCATAGGCGTATATAGCGGGGGGCCGGGTGGGCACGGCCCACCCCAGTATGGTCTAATGCCCACCCCAGGATTTTGGGTTAGCGATTCGAAATTCTAGGCTGGACACCTATCCTTCATCGCCAAAAGTAGATTGAAGACGAACGAGGCGAGCGAGGTGCAATGTAGATATTGAATTTCTCGAAATTTCTCTACTATAATATGCATATATACTTTTTTTTATTCCTTTTTTAAAAACATTGCCCTCACTTTAGGATAATTTATTATCCTGTGTTGTAAGGACGTTTTACAAACATAAATTGCACGAGGACAAACACTCAGATGCGAAACAACTATCTGTGGGTCGCGCAAATAGTTGTCCCGTGTGGGAATCGAACCCACGACCCCCGACACCGAAACCAATACCTTGACAACTGCGCCACGGAGTCATCAGTAAACATGTAAATCTTCCACTTGAATAATATCTATTGCTGAAAATCGCATTAAAATTCGTTGCGTTGTTTAACAGTTCTACAGTGTTCGATTTTTTTTGTAGTAAGGGCCCAGGCCCGCCCTGTAAAATAGCCCTAGACACGCCACTGGTTAAAGGTGTTACAATAAACCTTCCTTTATTAAATGTACCTGTAAAATCTCATCTGCAACAAAGACTCGTTTGTGTACAGTTGAATTTTATATGTAATAGTGTGCAACAAGTATTATCAAGTAAATGACATCTGTCTGCAAAAATTAGTTTGAATTAACTGCAGAGAAATGAAGTAGTTAATTCGCAACCTTAAATACTTATCGAAATGAAAGTGTTAAATAAATTATAAGTTATCATTAATGACTGATGAAGTAGTTGAAGCAGATAAATAGATGATAGATGAAGTAAAATTATTATGAAAATTTTTTCAGTCGTAAGAAGTACTGAGAGGAAAACTTGAATTACGTGCGTCACATGAGTTTAAAACCAAGAGTGATCTATTTTCTTTGTTTATCAGCTTATTGGGATACTGTAGTGATGTTCTTTATATCATAAATTTGGTTCTGAAAAAACTTAGAATTTTCTTCGTCTAAGATAAGAAAAACATTATTGCTTTTAAAAAAACAAGGCGTTATAAATTTTAACGTTGAAAATTGTAGAAATATTAAATTTATTATCTTTCGTTTAATTTAACATATAAATGGCATCTTATTTTATTCAAATAAGGCATTTATTTTTTTTTCAATTAAAAATCAATCTTTGAAGATTCGAAACTTCGGGAATTAAAAATAAAAATTAAAAATCTTTCATTTAGTTTCATTTAAGAAAAGAAAATATAAAACTGTTATTTCACGTTGGTCTTTTGTAAGGCTGTACCCATTCTTCGGACGAGCCTGCCAATTACTGAAACTGCTGCGAAGCAAATCCACTTACTGCGTATCCAGTATATATACGTAGACACTAATTACAATAGAATTCATCCAATAGCAATAAAACGAGAGCTTCATAATGCTCAAGGCTTTGTAAGTTACTTGCTTTAAATACGGTATTCGTATTCTTTCACATTTGTATTAACGAAACGATATAAAATATATGTACAGTTTTGAAGTTTTCGATTTATAAATTTTTAACAATCGCGAATAAATTTCAGACAACAATTTGAAACTGCTGATTTGATTGTTGAAAAAGGGCCTGTATGTATACTGACCTTATATCCTTCAATTGAATTCAATTTAAAATTGATATGATAATAGCCCAGTCTTGTATCACTTGATATAAGATCTGCATTGATAATAAAAATTCATACAAATTAGTTGTGTTAAGATGATGTAAAATATGTTAAGATTTCACCGATCTTTTGAATTAAGTTCCATTGAAATCAAGTGTTTAAGCGTTCTCTATTAAATCAATTACACCTTAAAATAAAATCTGCTTCCTCGTAACGATCAGAGAGTTTAATAATAAATAATTAAAAATATAGATTTCACGTACTTATTTACATCACGTTACATTCACTAAATTCTATTT